CAGACACGCATGCATACATGTTCACTGGATATGCATGCCTGCACCCACGCACAAGCACATTAACACATGGTCAAGCATGCACGCGCGCGAGTACACACATGCACACACATACATGTAGCAGAGCTTTAAATGAGGCAGTCGCATCAAAGACTGCCCAGTGTGTACCATCCGCCTTCCGATAAATTTGTACGGGTCAGCGTGACATTACTGGGTCAAAATCTAACACGGAGCTTTCCTGTAAAAAATCAAAGGGAACCGGACCCTATATCACAATTGACTCTGTCGTTTATGACAATGGTAAACTGTATACATGATGACCAAGTACCCCTTAACTGATATGACGACTCGTTTGTGAGTTCGACATAGATGACCTACGTGCCCATATATGGACATGTCCAGCCCAGGTGATTAAATGACCAAATGACCTTACTGGAAATAGCGAGCACGCACTTTCTTAATAATCGAGTACATCATCTTATCGGGGGTGGGTTTAGGCGTGGACATAAATATACCTTGATAAGATTTATTAGGCTTAATTCATAAGGAATTTTAGAAGAATTCCTTTTGAAACAGTAACAGTTCGAATAACTGGTGATACTTTTTACCTATTTTACCAAAACCTAATAATAGAAATACAAAGCCCTACATCCATTTCTTGGCGTGAAGTGTTTGCATAAATCAGAGCGATATCATCTCACTCCTGCAAATGCATCGCACAAAATCACGCCTCTTTTTTAAAATGTCACCGTGAAAACGATAAACTATATACAGGCTAGGGCGCCCCGGAAGCCGCATGAAGACCGCCAATCTTCCTCATCTGTGGTATAAAGCTACTGACCGCCAACACGGGGATGGCACCAGTGACCAAAGGTCCTGGGAAATATGATGACACACCACAATGTCCGAGTACTTTAATCCGCATTGATCTGATAGACATGTCAGGCCCGTAGCCGGGTGTGGGGGGGGGGGGGGGGGAATGGGGTTGGNTATACACCTGATATGCGAGTAGGATAAACTGGTGAAACTAGTGTAAGGATATTTTCACTTTGATAACAAAGACTTGTTAGTAGTCAATAAACGTTCAGTTTTGGTAATGTTGTAAATATGCTTACTCTGAGGTACCGTACCTGGAACTTCTTTGAACGACACCTTGTCCTGCAATCTTGGAAGGTGTGATAGTCATTGCTATCGGTCAGTGGTTAAGGTTAAGATGCTTAGAAACCGCACTTGTTGCATTAATTATATTTTGGTCCATTCACATGTACTCTTGAATAAGTATCTCCGTAATCTGAAGATGACAGGGACTACTACATGTAATACGCAGCGCATCATGGCAAGAATATTTCCAGTGACTTTGGTCTTGGTATTAAAAAAAATATATAAATATATTAATCATTTGACGAATTGCTAAGATGCAATGCGGTTTTTTTTTTTTTTTTATAAAGAAAAAGTAAAGTGTGGATCCGCTCGTCACTCATCTACATTAAAGACCCGTCAACCAACACTTGTCAGAACAGCTTTTAGTGCTGAAAGTGACCATATTGTTACTTTTAACAATTTTATCTTGACCGCCAGTCCTTTAGAACTAACTCGCTTCATTTAAAATGACTTAAATAATCGAAACCAAGTGCAGCCATGAGGAAAATTCGACTTGTCACGAAAATCGCGGATAGGATATCTTAAATTTAACTTGTTCGCGTTAGAGCAGAGGAACTTGTTCGTGTATGTAAAGTGAGGTGATGAAGGGTGTGCATACTGACTTGCAAAGTTAATTAAATTCGGAACTTTTGGTTTCTCATCTGACATGCAAATCGCTGCAGAGAATTTAGTTACGAGTGCAGTCGTGTCATGCCCCCCCCCCCCCTCCATCGTCGGAATGGCTGCTCTCCTTCGTGACTTGGACACAACCACACCTGCTACACCAAGTCATAATTGAATAAGCTGTTTACTAAACAAGTGCAGATATATTGGGGAGATAAAGGACAGAGATAAAACCAAAGAATAGTAAATAAGCCTTGGTTGACGTCAGTATGTGTAGCATTTACTAGGGCGTAAAGTCATTTATTACTGAGCAACCGCATATAAAAGTCGTTTGCTTATCCAGTTCAGAGGGGCTACGTTAACTTACATCTAAAACCGCATTTAACATCTACTGAATGTTTATTTTACTTTTTATGCTCTGACAAATTTTAAAACTTCAAAGGAGGCATCATCTCTTAGCTAGATTCCTAAATGCGAACATTAAGTGCAAACGGGTACTCGATGTGATGAACGCACATAAATGATTTATGTTCCCCATTATTAGCTTCATCAAAACGTTTGTAGTGTCCACAGCGACAAGTTGCCCAATAATCCTGAATACTATTATTTTGGTGAAAATGTCTGTAGCCAAGGCATGAGCCGACCACTCCCAGTTTTTCTCTTGGATTAATAAACTGGCCCAGTCTTGGTTTTCCGCGGCCACGCACATGCACGCGCACCGGGCGGACACGCACGCATACATGTTCACTGGATACGTGCGCCTGCACCCACGCACAAACATATCAACACATGGTCAAGCATGCACGCGCGCGAGTACACACATGCACACACATACATGTAGCAAAGCTTTTAATGAGGCATTCGCATCAAAGACTGCCCAGTGTGTACCATCCGCCTTCCGATAGATTTGTACGGGTCAGCGTGACATTACTGGGTCAAAATCTAACACGGAGCTTTCCTGTAAAAAAATCAAAGGGAACCGGACCCTATATCACAATTGACTCTGTCGTTTATGACAACGGTAAACTGTAGACATGATGACGAAGTAGCCCTTAACTGATATGACGACTCGTTTGTGAGTTCGACATAGATGACCTACGTGCCCATATATGGACATGTCCAGCCCAGGTGATAAAATGACCAAATAACCTTACTGGACATAGCGAGCACGCACTTTCTTAATAATCGAGTATATCATCTTATCGGGGGTGGGTTTAGGCGTGGACATAAATATACCTTGATAAGATTTATTAGGCTTAATTCATAAGGAATTTGATTAAGAAGAATTCCTTTTGAAACAGTAACAGTTCGAATAACTGGTGATACTTTTTACCTATTTTACCAAAGCCTAATGATAGAAATACAAAGCCCTACATCCATGTCTTGGCGTGAAGTGTTTGCATAAATCAGAGCGATATCATCTCACTCCTGCAGATGCCTCGCACAAAAACACGCCTCTTTTTAAAATGTCACCGTGAAAACGATAAACTATATACAGGGCGCCCCGGAAGCCGCTTGAAGACCTCCAATCTTCCTCATCTGTGGTATAAAGCTACTGACCGCCAACACGGGGATGGCACCAGTGACCAAAGGTCCTGGGAAATATGATGACACACCACAATGTCCGAGTACTTTAATCAGCATTGATCTGATAGACATGTCAGGCCCGTAGCCGGGTGTGTGTGTGTGTGTGTGTGTGTGGGGGGGGGGGGGGGGGG